CTTGGAGTCACTTCAGTGCCAAGAAGACACTCAAGCAAGCTGCTCTTCCCATGGTTGGCTTGGCATGCTGTGACAGATGACATCTGTGGAGCAACAATCATAATCTTAAGTGTCTCGAGCAAGAACTGCCAAAAAGGAGTTATGCTAAAAGGATGGGGGGGAGAAGAAAGCATTTTGAGTTCACAAACAGAATCTGCAGACATCGTGATCCCTGATATAGTTATGTGGCTTTGGATTACCACAAACAGCTGGAGATCTGTTTATATTATTAGGAATCCTGTTGGGAAGCTTCCTTATGTGTATAGATGTGCATGCATGTGCACTCACGCATGTGTCCATGTGCACACATGCACACACACACCCTTTCCATGCTACAGTTGAAGAGATGGAGGCGATATTTGATTCAGTTCACGTTTCAAGGCGTTCTTACCTAATCAACACTTTCTGAGTCAAGATATGAACTGAGACGCAAACCCTCCTTTGCAATCTGCACTTACCCAAATTTTGTAATGCAGTTCTCTGGTCAAGTAATGGGTTAAAAAATGCGTGTATTAGGGTAAAGTGTGCATAGAAATGCATGTATAAGTAAAAGTTATATACACAAATGCTTTTTTTTAAAAAAAAGTTTTGCAAAAATGTATAGGCAAAATTGTTTACAGCGGTGTATATAAGGAAGAGTTCAGGCTGAAATGGTGCTGAATTTTCATGTGGTCTTTTTAAAAAAAGAATCACATACTGATGTGGAGATTTGAATTTCAGATTGGAAAAATAAGAAGCAGGCAGAAAATAAAATCAATATATTCAGCCATCCCTAGTACACCATTGTGGTGTTCTTGAGATATTGTGGACTACACCTCCCATCATCTCAGACTAACCATGGATTCTTTGGTTCAAGGATTGTGAATAATGCAAGGCTTTGGATGTTTTGCTAACCGGAAAAAGAAGTAATAGAGGACGGATATCTGGCCATTCTTTGCTGAAGTCAATGGTAAAAGACCCCACCTCTCTCTCTTTCCCGCCCTCTCCCCCTGCTCTCGTCTCTGTGTTCTTGGCAATATTCTCTGACCCTTTGGAAATAAATAAGATAGAAAGACCACAACACATTAGTATTCCATTATTGAGAATACCCCCCCCCCCAACTGCTGAGAATGTTTCAGAAATCTGCAAGATGGTCATTTAGAGCTTTAGAATTCCAAACAGGCAAATAGGCAGATGTTTGGCTCCTAGTACGTTTCCGAGCACAATTCAAAGTGTTGGTGCTGACCTTTAAAGCCTTAAACAGCCTCGGTCCAGTATACCAGAAGGAGCGTCTCCACCCCTACCATTTTACCTGGACACTGAGGTCCAGCGCTGAGGGCCTTCTGGTGATTCCCTCACTGCGAGAAGCCAAGTTACAGGGAAGCAGGCAGAGGGCCTTTTCGGTAGTGGCACCCACCCTGTGGAATGCCCTCCCACCAGATGTCAAAGAGAACAACAACTACCAGACATCTGAAGGCAGCCCTGTTTAGGGAAGCTTTTAATGTTTGATGCATTACTGTATTTTAATATTTTGTTGAAAGCCACCCAGAGTGGCTGGGGAAGCCCAGCCAGATGGGTGGTGTATAAATACTAAATTATTATTATTATAAATTATATTGGTCTTCTGACTGCCGTCGTCACAGAAGCCTTTCTTTCTGCATTTACAGAGTCCTGCTGGGTCTAGTAGGAAATGGCATTTGAAAGCCTCCCTCCCAAGCAAAACAGCAGATTCGCCAAACAGAGTCCCTTCCCACCAATGGGTGCCAAGAGGAAATTGTAGGGCTGTGGAGCCAGAGTCAATGACAGGCAGAACCAAAAAATTCTATTTTTGTGTCCATCCTACTCCCAGCTGAATTATACAAGGGACAGCCCTGAGACTAAGGAGAAGGCCCTGCCACCCTCTGGACTGGCTGTCAGAAAGCAGGTTCAGGTGTGGGGTTATTGAGAGCAGACTAAGGTAGGTGGGGCAGTGCCCCAATTTGCCTTCCCCATTTACTTTTCTTGTGTCATCACCATTTTGCTCTTTTGATGAAACAGTTCAGGAGATGGAAGCAGCTCTCCCCAGCACTCATGTGTTTATAGACAATCATCTGGGACATTATTACTGAGATTTCCTTTATGCTCATTATATGCAATAGACACATTTTGACTTCAAAGGTGCAATAGGGCATCTTTATAACTGTAACGTCAGAGACAGGTGAAGTGTGCACAGATGCGCCTTAGGGCTGGCTTATCACTTGATATCTTTACTTTTGGGTTATGTACACTTGCAGACTGGCGACTAAATGTGTGCCCTGACTCCCATTCATTGACTAGGAATGCAGATGACTGCTTCCACCAATATTCATGAGTGCAACACAGAACCGTTAATTCCCTCCAACTTTCCTCCGATGAAAATAGGGATGTCTTATTTCATACTTTCCAACATTTCTCCAATGAAAATAGGGAGGTCCTATTTCATATCCTTCAGCGTTTCTCCAATGAAAATAGGTATGTCCTATTCCATGCCCTCCAACATTTCTCCGATGAAAATAGGGATGTCCTAAGGAAAAGTGGGACATTCCAGGGTCAAATCATAACCCAGGATGGCTTCTGTAAATCTGGGACTGTCCCTGGAAAATAAGGACACTTGGAGGGTCTGGGAACCATAGATGGGAGTCGCTGTATTTAAAATATACTGTATTTTCCAAGGACTGCAAACATGGTGCTCTCCAAAGGTTGTTGAGCTACAACTCCCATCATCCCAAGTCAGTTTGGCCAACCAGGGATGATGGGAGGTTCAGTCCAATACAGCTGTATTGGAATACACAGAAGAGAATTGCACAACGAGGAGTTAGATTGATGTCCAGCAGTTTCCCCCTTCTAACGCCCCTGGCTTACCAGGTCTGCATTTATCACGGCCTGCTACCCATACCTCTCATCAACACGATGAGAGTTAATATGATTTCTTTGTACTCAGCATTCCTTCAGTAGAAATGCTTAAGGCTCTAAAGAGGATCAAAGGCTTGCGATCTGTTACAGATAAGCCAAGACAGGGTCTCATACCCTCCGACTAGGGAATGCAGCAGCTTTCTGTCTGCGTTAGCATTTCTTTTCCCATACTTGAAAGTGTAAGGAAGGCATAGACCAGGCACGTCCAACTCCCAAGAGACTGCGATCTACTCAAAATATAAAAAGACTGACTGTGACCTACCCATTGTCATTGCTAGGGGACGGTTGACCAAAGTTGTTGAGTGGGGAGGGGGGTGGAACACAAAGGCAATCACTAACTTAATACCCCAATCAACCTGAGACACCCCCGTGATCGACCGGTCATGTTGGACATGCCTGGTATAGACCATGGGAATGCCACAGTTTGGTTAATCTCCTTTTTAATAGTGCATGTTGTTAGGGCCAATAACGTACAACCCAGGTGGGTGTGATTAATATACACTTTGCCCTCCCCAGTTTAAGACAACTGCATAAACCTGAGGGAGGAAGACACTGTCCCTGAGAATCCAGTGTAAGACCAGCCCAGGGCAGCGCTGCCCATCATCCAGCTTCAGCTATGAGCAGGTGTGCCCACTGCTATGTCTATATGGGTTTCCAAGCAGCACCAAGAGCCTGAGTTATGCAATTTAGGTTGAGTTCCTTGAGTTCTGTCTAGCTGTAATGTGCCTGCTGAAAACGTTTTTGTTGAGTAGGCTTGCCTACTCAACAGTGTATGGTTGACATGCATTCTATTAAGTACTGTATTTTTCGCAAGGGGAGCCTTCATCCCCTGCCCGGGAGAGGCTGTGCACGGCTAAGGCTCCCCCAAGAGCCACGCTCCCTTTAAAGAGCGCTTGGAGTGTGTGTGAGCCACATCCACGTGGCTCTTTAAAGGGAGTGCTGAGCAGAGCCTCCTGTCTGCATTCGCTCCATAAGACACACATACATTTCCCCTTACTTTTTGGGAGGGGAAAAGTGTGACTTATAGAGTGAAAAATACGGTACTTTTCTTGTTTTCAAATGATGCATTTTTTAAACTATTGGTTTTATGTGTACTTTGAATTTTTTCTTAGGTCTTGTTTTTACCTTCTAACTTCAATGGGTAATTTTGATGTGTATTTTATGTTTTATGTAGACCATGGTTTTGCCAGTTAAGCAGTATTTACATTTTTAAAACGGGCAAACAAATAAATTCATGTATGTAGTTCGGAATTGAGGACCTTGATGACTGCAGAATTTTCATATCCACACCATTCCAAAATGGACCCATCAGACCATCAAACTTCAATATATTTTATAAAAAATAGTTGACTTTCACAGAAGTGAAGAGATACAATTGCACAATGGTGGACACAATGGTATAAATACATATCACTGAGAAATTGCTTGCAAGAAGTTTAAAAACAGACTGTACAGCACCGCATCTGAAATTGTGTAACAGCCAATAGAATTTTACTTCTTTTCACCTCTAAAGAAATCTGATTCTTAAGTATTTGACTTTAGAAGAGAGTGTGGTTGTTGTTGTTTTAAAGAGAACCCAAATAATATTGATGCACATTCTATTTCAGATTACTGTCCAAATATATTTTGATGTTGAGCAATTAGACAGATTGCTTTTGTTTAAAAAAATGATATATGGTAGAAAAAGACATTCATGCAGTTAAGCCACCATTAGTCTCTGACTCTATTATAAGGCAGATCATTAATCTTTTTTATTTTATTTTTTTAAACAATGTCTTTAGCCACTGAAATAAACTTTAGTGCTTTCCATGACAAAGTCATGGCAGGCCTGGTGTAGAGTTAAGAAAGTTACCTCTAATCCCATCCAGATCATTTTAAATAAAGGCTCCGCCATATTTGGAATACATTATACTGTAGAAAAAAGCTCCCCCCCAATTTCCTTTTCTTAATTCTTACTGGAAAAAAGAGAACTTAAGAGAAACCCAGCAGAATGCTTTTGAGTTCAGCACAAATGACACTGCTTTCAGGTGGCCGGAATATCAAGGTTGAGTTTATGTGTCATCCTCAGTCTTAATTATGTGGAAAAGAGTGACATTGAACAGGACTTGGTGCCCATTATTCCAGGCATACAGAGCTCGATCTCTGGCATTGTAGTCAAGCATGGATATATGAAAATATTGATTATGAAAGGGGATATCCGTGTATTCGTACGTGGAGGTTTTCGTGGAATAGGAGTAGTACACCTTGGCTCCAGTTAAGTGAGAATTGGTGACGTACAAGGTGCCACAGATCATGAAGGATTCGCCAGCACTTCTCTTTGGGTAGCCAGTGCTCCAGCTTTTCATCACTTCCAACGTGTCCTGGTTCAGCTGGCTGATGACGATGTTGCCCGCGTTCTGATTGGTTGCGTAGACGGCCCACAAGCCAATTTCGTCTGCCATCAGGTCGATATCCGAGAAGCCGCCCCAAGTGTATGGGTAGACGTTGTGGAAGCCGGCATACTCCAGGCTACGCTGAGCCAGCACCCGGCCCGTATCGAAGCTGTACTTGATGATGATGTTGCTCTGGTATTTGTTGAAGAAGAGGGAGCCGTTGTAGACAACGTGGTTGGTTCCTGCCCACTTGAAAGGGAGGTTGTATGTCCTCGACTCGGCTCCGCTGACAAAGTCTGCTATCGATTTGTATTCACGGACTATTTTGTTGTTGGTGTAACTGTCCATATACCAGACCTGAAAGCAAAAAAGAAAGAAAGAAAGAAAGAAAGAAAGAAAGAAAGGATAAGCTGTGAACTTTGGACAGAAGCATAATTTGCAAGTCGGCCTATCATTTTAAATACATTTGCTATTTACCCTTTCACTGGAGTCTTTCCATTTGCCACGCAAATCAAGCAAAGGAAAATCAGATCTGATCAGGTTTTGTTGATTGCTGGGTTTAGAAAAAGGGGAGCGGCCCATCTGCACACAGCAGGGCTCTGAATTTCTCAGACTGCCGTTTCTCAGACTATGTTCCACAGAACCCCGAGGTTCCGTGAAGCGGTCCAAGGGGTTCCTCTGAGAAAAGAACTGTATTGGCAGACAAGCACACACAATGTGTGATTTCTGTTGAGCTGTAGCCATGGGAATTAAATGCACCATTCAAGCAATTTTCCTGTGATTTCCTTCCCTTTCCCCCCTTCCCTTGCTGGGTTCTCCAAGTTTAAGTCAGTAGAAGAGTTTGGATTTGATATCCCGCTTTATCACTACCTGAAGGAGTCTCAAAGCGGCTAACATTCTCCTTTCCCTTCCTCCCCCACAACAAACACTCTGTGAGATGAGTGAGGCAGAGAGACTTCAGAGAAGTGTGACTAGCCCAAGGTCACCCAGCAGCTGCAGGTGGAGGAATGGGGAAGCGAACCCGGTTCACCAGACTACGAGACTACCGCTCTTAACCACTACACCACACTGGCTAATGTGCAGGAGTGCCGGCTTCTAGGGGCGGAGTCCTTTTGAGTCCCTGCTATATTTTTGGAGTAGGGCCGGTCCCCACCATCCCCCAAAATTTCAGAGCCAAAGAGGGGAGCTGAGCACAGTGTGCCTTCAGCAGCTGGCTCCTCCTCCTCCTTCTGTAGAGGGGAAGGAGGGTTGAAGCACCAGCGGTGGTGTCAAGAGGAGGCGGAAGATGAGCCACCGGCCACTGAGCTGATTGGCTGCCATGTTTGGCTCCGCCCCAGCTCCTCTCAACATCTTGACATCACACTGCGATGTTGGCACCCCCATCGCCTTTGCTAGCTGGCTCCTCTGGCAAGGTGGCATTGCTTGCCTGCCTCCCCAGTGCTGTGCCTTGCTGCCAGTTGCCAAGTGGGAGAGGGGCGAGGCAGTGTGGAGCTTGCTCAGCAGCAGGCTCAGCAGCAGAGTCAATCTGACACTCCCAGCACCTCCACTGCCTCACCCATCTTCTCCTCTTAAGTGTTGAGAAGCCAGGTGAGCAACACTGCTCTGCCTGCCCTGCCCTGTTAGTGTGTTCAAGCACTTGCAGTAGGAATCCTTTGTCCCCTTCTAGCACTTGCTAGAAAGAGCTCTTAATGCTGGCGAGGAGATAAGAACTCTAACTAATAGGAGCAGAAGGCTTAAGGATCACAAAACTAAACACTGGCTTCTCCTGGCAGAGCGGTACAGGAGACCGACAGCAAAGATGTTAAAAGTCTCAAACAGGGTGGATAAAAAGCAATGTTTTTATAAAAAGAGTTGAATCAGTTTTTTTTTAAATTTAAATCAGATTTTATAATAAAATGCTTTTGGAGTAAAAATCTTTCTAAAGATAGTTTTCTATTTAAGTTAACATTATATTCCAAAGGCTATTCATCAGGAAATAAGGATTTGTTTTAAGTTTATCATGTGGGCTAAAACTCAGTTTAAGTTTTATATAGATGTATACAGTATATATATATATATCTATAGTTTAACCACATCAGTTAACAAACATGGATACATATGCTATAATGTTATTGTTTTAGTTAAATAAATGGTTTAAATTGTTTTTAAGGAATGATTGTTTTTCTCCTTCCAATAAAGTAGAGCAGAAAACTTGTCCATATATAAACAATAATTTCATAATTACCTGTCTTTGCATTTCTAATAGTATAACCAAAGCAGTAATTGTTGATATAACTGTAAAAACTACTCTGAAAATTTATTATTCCAAAAATGAAACCTTCACCTGGTTGTAAATATTAAGATCATACCAGAAAGAATGAGTCTTTCTGTAAAAAAAAAAATGATTTAAATCAAGTCTTACTGACTAGTGATTTAAAGCATGATTTAAATTGATTTATATCAAATCCACCCTGGTCTCAAACTTGCTGCGTTTAAAAGTTGCGCCTCTGTTGTGAGCTCTCCTAATAATCAACTCTGCCCCCTTTTAATTCATTTAAATATATTCTACCGTAAGTGTTCTGCTGAAGTTTTCTTTAAAGTAAAGGGTTCCACTGGAAACAAAAAAATCGAGAACCACTGCTTTGGACAATAAGGAGAATGATGTGTAGGTCATGGTAATATTAGACCCTTCACTGACATGGCTGTCATGTCTCCATGTTGATCCACCCATGTGGTTTGCCCTGATTTCATGTTTATTAAAAGGGAAGGGTTGTGCACTGCATTCAGATAGATCCCAAACTAAACCGGGCTGATTTGGGGGCAATCTGCACATAGCTGAGTCAGGTTGAGACAGCCCTGGATAGGGCTGGGCAGGCCAGAGAGATCCGGGGCTGTCGTGGGGCAGGGCATGGGAAGTAGAGGCAGGCATAGGTGGGAAGGAGAAACCGTAGAAAGGTGGAACCGAACAGCTGGCTGCACCTTTGCGGCAGAAGGTAGGGGTGGGTGTGAGTGGATGCCGTTCTGGCCTCATCTCTCCTTCCTGCCTCCTGAAGCAGCACCGCACAGGATTGAATCCTAAGCAAAAGATTCGATTCTGCATTATGCTGGTTGCTACTCCTTCCTATGGGGCAGCAGCACCCTGCAGGATCCAGTCCTTCCACTTGTAAGCAGATAATAATAATAATAATAATAATAATAATAATAATAATATATTATTTGTACCCCGCCCATCTGGCTGGGTTTCCCCAGCTACTATGGGTGGCTTCCAACAAAGATTAAAAATACATCAAAATGTCACACATTAAAAACTTCCCTAAACAGGGCTACCTTCAGATGTTTTCTAAATGTCAGGTAGTTGTTTATCTCTTTGACATTTGATGGGAGGGCGTTCCACAGTGTGGGCGCCACTATCGAGAAGGCCCTCTGCCTGGTTCCCTGTAGCTTAGCTTCTCGCAATGAGGGAACTGCCAGAAGGCCCTTGGCACTGGACCTCGGCGTCCGGACAGAATGATAGGTGTGGAGACGCTCCTTCAGGTATACTGGGCCGAGTTGTAGAGCAGATGTATTGCATTTAGAAGACCCTAAGTTTAGTCCCCAACATCTCCAGCCAAAACATTCTCAGGTAGTAGGTGCTCAGAAAGACTTCTGCCTGAGGCCTTGGAGAGAGCTGACAACTGGGCTGAATGGACCTACGCTGTGATCCAAGTATAAGGCAGCTTCACATCTTTCATTGACCAACTGGTAGAATTCCTGCCCGGCTCCCAGCAAGAAATAATAAAAGTTACGTACTCTGTTATTTTTCTCGGGTGCTAATGGGTCCGTCATCCAAGCGCCAAACCGGGTTCCCGATGTCTTGACTGTAATAGGGCCAGTGATCTTCATCAATTTGCCGCAAGCTGAAATGATAAGAAACCAAAATGACTCTATGAAAATCCCTTCCAAACCACAATGTTGGCTGACTGGGCTCTTCTTCCAGATATAAGTGCTGTGAAAGGAGACCGAGTGAGAAATAAAAAAACAAACGCTGGTGATGCCCGAGTGCTTTTGGTGCCGTCCAAAAAAGAAGAAGGATACTTTGTTCAAGTTCTTTAAATGAAGAGTTAGGTTATTTGAAGGATGCAAACAAGACATGGTGTAAGGATTTGAAATAACTAGCACTTCAGTGGTATATCATTCTTTATTATTGTTTTATCCAGCATGCATGTAACAAAACCAACAAATGAAACACTGCTTCTTCAGGGAACATTTAGGTTCATTAAAAAGTAGCATATGGGATGCGGGTGGCGCTGTAGGCTAAACCATTGAGCTTCTTGGGCTTGCTGATCAGAAGGTCGGCGGTTCGAATCCCCACGACGGGGGGTGAGCTCCCATTACTAGGTCCCTGCTCCTGACAACCTAGCAGTTTGAAAGCACGCCAAAAAGTGCAAGTAGATAAACAGGCACCGCTCCAGCGGGAAGGTAAACGGCGTTTCTGTATGCTGCTCTGGTTTCACCAGAAGCGGCTTAGTCATGCTGGCCACATGACCCGGAAAAACTGTCTGCGGACAAATGTCAGCTCCCTCAGCCAGTAAAGTGAGATGAGCACCACAACCCCAGAGCCGTCTGCGACTGGATTTAACTGTCAGGGGTCCTTTAAAGATAAAGGTAAAGGGACCCCTGACCATTAGGTCCAGTCGTGGCCCACTCTGGGGTTGCGGCGCTCATCTCGCTTTATTGGCCAAGGGAGCCGGCATACAGCTTTCGGGTCATGTGGCCAGCATGACTAAGCCGCTTCTGGCAAACCAGAGCAGCACACAGAAAAGCCGTTTACCTTCCCACCGGAGCAGTACCTATTTATCTACTTGCACTTTGATGTGCTTTCGAACTGCTAGTTTGTCAGGAGCAGGGACTGTACAACGAGAGCTCACCCCGTTGCAGGGATTCGAACCACTGACCTTCTGATCGGAAAGTCCTAGGCTCTGTGGTTTAACCCACAGCGCCACCCGCGTCCTGTTACCTTTACCTTTAAAAAGTAGCATATAATGTTGCTGGTTCTTCGCTGTTGTTGTGTTGTGACTTTTTAATGCATTGTCTTATTTGATTGGTGTTTTATTACGTATTGAGGTTTTACCTTACCGCTAATGATCTATATGGCTCAAAAGAAAGGATACAAATACATGATATACACATATATACAGTGGTGCCTCGCAAGACGAATCTCTTCGTCTTGCGGTTTTTTCGTCTTGCGAAGCACGGCTATTAGTGGCTTAGCGGCTTAGCGGCTATTAGCGGCTTAAAGAAAAAGGAAACAAACTCACAAGAACTCGCAAGACGTTTCGTCTTGCGAAGCAAGCCCATAGGGAAATTCGTCTTGCGGAACGACTCAAAAAATGCAAAACCCTTTCGTCTAGCGAGTTTTTCGTCTTGCGAGGCATTCGTCTTGCGGGGCACCACTGTACAGTGGTACCTCTGGTTGCAAACGGGATCTCTTCCGGAGGCCCGTTTGCAACATGAAAGGAACGCTACCTGCAGTGGTGTGTCTGCGCATGCACGGGTTGCGACCCGCCACTTCTGTGCATGCGCTTGACGCCATTTTGCGCATCTGCGCATGCGTGAGCGGCGAAACCCGGAAGTAACCCTTTCCGGTACTTCCGGGTTACCTTAGGACACAACCTGAAGAAACGTATCATGAAGCAAACATAACATGAGGAATGACTGTATGTGTGTATATATCTGTATGTGGTATCATGCCTGAATGCATGGGCCCATGCCCAGGAAGCCTGTACAGCTATCATTGGGTTTTTCTACTTGTAAGAGACTCTGCTTCCACCCAGAAATAAGGTTCTGGCCTTTGGACCACTGGCTGGAGAATAGTATGCATCTTCTTCTTCCCCTTGCCTCCTGATCACACGTTTATACCCTAATTACATGCCTAAATCCTAATTAGAGGTTTACATCCTAGTTAAGAAACAATGCAAGGCCCCTTTCTCAGGGGCCAGATCCAGGATCATCCTGGGTGAGATTTAATTTTTATTGTTTTGTATTTATTTATTAAATGGGAAGAAACAAGTGCGGTCCTCCTCTGAGGGTACTGCAAGATGCTATCACAGAGGGTTTTTCCTCCAACGTGCTAGATCATAGCTATCAACTTTTCCCTTTTCTTGCGAGGAATCCTATTCAGAATAAGAGAATTTCCCTTAGAAAAAGGGAAACATTGACAGCTATGTGCTAGATCAGCCCTTGGATCAGGGAGCCATCTACAGCCCTAGAATTCATGGATTTCTATTTTTGGGTGAAGTATGTAAAAAATGCACCTTATTTTCATCAAAGTGACTAGGATTCCGTTGGGCAAATTTGAACAAGGTTGAGTGATTTGTAGACGACAAGACGACAAGTTGCACTTCCACGTGAATGAAAATGCTTAAATGGAAGTTAGTTTTAGGAATGCTTTGTTCAATCTGCATATAACTAAGTAGGTCAAATTGGAGACAAGCAGAACAGGCTGTGTGTTCTGACTGCACCGGCCAAGTTATGACTTCATTTCCTACACTTAAGTTACTGGAAATGAATGCGCTATATCATCCGAGCCTATTCTCATTCTGTTATAATGGGGCAAGTGCTTTGATAAGCTGCCTTGAGGCACTGAATCCATTGCTGGGCTAAATGGATATAATGGAAATATGTACAAAGTGAATAGGCACTCAAGTCAATCAACTACATTGGATGAAAGTAGATGTTGCAGGAGCATCCATCCTGTGTGTGTGTGTCTCTCCCTTCTCCCTGGAAACATCTAGTATAGGAATGGGGAATCTGTGGCAGTCCAGATGTAGCTGGATTTTATCTCCTTCCCATCTGAAGCTAGGCCAGTAGAGAGAGGAGAGGGAATTCTCAGTCACAACACTCCATTTGTGGAGTTCTTGTTATCTAGATGTTCCCCTCAATCCATCTTTTGGGAGATGTTTCTTTATGACTATTTTCTTGGATTAGGTCGGGTTAAAATATATATGGCATAATAACAACATTTTACTTAATCGGAAGCTGTTTGTAAAATTAAATCAAATAGTCCTGTTTTTCTTCATTTCAGAGCAAAGCAAGTCGGTAGGCTTGCGCAGATATATAGGTCTTTTCGAGAATCAAAAGGTGCACAAAATATGGGGGGAAATGTAACTTTCAATGTAAATAGGGAATTGATTTCAACATCACAATCTTTACAACAGAGAGGACTTGGATGTATCAGAACATAGCGAAAAGACTGTATCCGCCACTCTTAAATCTTTCATAAAATGAGATTTTGAGGGTACCTCTTCTCTCTCTCTCGCTCTGGGGGGTGGGGATTACAGAAGGAAAAGTACTGGAGGTGTTAAACCCAATGGGGAGCTTTAATACATATATTTTGGGTTCTGCCCTCCTGTCAAACCATTTTGGAAAGAAGTTATGGAAGTAATAAAAAAGACGAACAGACATGGTATTATGTTAAATCCTGAGATATTGCTTTGGGGTTATCTGAAGGATCGCATCTTGCAGGGCGACTTATAAAAGGTGAACAGTTTACTTAAAGTAGCAATACATAAGTGATGGCAGCGACAAGAACTTCTTTAATATCCTCCTGGACTGAGCAAATTTTGACTGTAGCGTTTCTAACCAAAATTGGCGTACTATGTGAGGTTTAAAGAAGGCTGTTTGGAATAATAGTTCATTGAAAAGTGAATTTTTTTTAAAAAAAAATCAGTAGAATATGAAATAGCAAGATAATATTCAACCACATATATTATTTTAATTGCAGCTTTGATCTTGCCAGTGGTAGGATGGAAGGCAGGGAGGCCAACAGTAGGTGGAGCTAGAGCCAATAAGAGGCAGCACCAACTCATTCTAATTCTACCTCCTTCCTCCTCCTGGCTGAGTTTTACAAGGTGCAACACTGAGAATAAGAAGGAGGAAGCTTCTTAGTAAGGAAAGATAATAAGAATATATAGATGATTTGAGAAGGTTGTAGAATGCAAAGATTATTGTAAATTGTATAATGTGGAGGAAATCGAGTGGGGGCGGAGGGAAGTGGAAGGAAGGAGAAAAGAATAATATGATAGATTGAGGAAATAGAAATGTAAATGTATGGGGGAGGGTGGGGAGGAAATGGTGTTGGCTTCGGTACATATGTATTGTAAAGTAATATGTGAAAACCAATTTCTAAAACAGGGGAAGAAAAAAAAAGCAGGAGGACTATAGGCCTGGAAATCCTGTTTGTCAACTTGCATTTGCAAAGCATGCAGTTTAAGATAAATGTGGTGGTTTGAAAAAACAAAACAAAACACTCTTTGTCAAACTCAAAAGAAGAAGAAGAAGAAGAAGAAGAAGAAGAAGAAGAAGAAGAAAGAAGGAGGAAGGAGGAAGCTGACAGGCAGACCACCCCCTGGACTTGTTGCAAGTAGGAGGGTAGTCAGGCGGGCATTTGCTGAAACACATTGCGCATGCTGTAGTGGTGCCTGGGAGCCCTGGAAGTCATGTCCAAGGCCCCATGGTGCAGGGACTCAGCACCCACCACAATTTTTTGGTGGGTACCCAGGCCCCTGGCCTGCATGAAATGGTTTCAAATTTTATTTATTTCATTTAAATACACTGCACTTCCAGTTACACAGAGACACAAGCACCAAAATCCCCGCGAAACCATCTTCTGATGTGGCTACGATGCTTCTCCCACAACAAAGGCTTTGAAAAGAATCAACTCCTTTTTTTAAAAAAAAAACTTTGTCAGGAGCCAATTCTTCCCAACTGCTTTGGTTGATAATCAAGGGGGGGAATCGCAGAAAAGAAAGTGAGCTTGATTAATGAGCCTTCACAGCACTCTGAGTTTCGGCAGCTGCGGACCCCGCATTTGCATGCAGGGAACGGCTCAGGATGACAAGGTAGGCCCTGAAGCACGTCTCTTTGTGAGTGGAGAGAATGATGGATCAGCCTGTACTATTTTGAGCCGCTTAAGGCCCACACTGGAAACTGCTGGGAGAGAAAATGACTTGGAGAAGAACACCCAGTGACTTACCCACAAAATACTTGACCTTGGGGACGTATCAAGGGATGGATCGGCACTGATGGATGGATCAGGCAGGAACTGTAAGTTTAGGGCAGGAAAGCAACGGAGGAAATGCAGGGTCCCATTTGATTCTTGCTGAAATCCTCCCCAATGATTGACTTCTTCCTCAAGAGTCAACCCACCCAGTATTCCACGTCAAATGTCTTCTTCGCTCACTATTGCATTCACCAAGAAGCTGATCAATGTGACTTAAGGGGAAATTAAAACTAAGTGAAGCACTTCTTACAGAGAAACCCTAGTAATCCCCATCTCCAGTTTATAGCAGAGTAATAATGTGCACAAAATTCTTCCCCTGTCCCTGACTGTCTAGATCTCTTACTATTTGCACCAAGGTAAGTACAAATTAAAGGTCCGTATAGTTAAAGCTATGGTTTTCCCAGTAGTGATGTGATGGAAGTGAGAGCTGGACCATAAAGAAGGGTGATCGCCGAAGAATTGATGCTTTTGAATTATGGTGCTGGAGGAGACTCTTGAGAGTTCCATGGACTGTAAGAAGATCAAACCTATCCATCCTTAAGGAAATCAGCCCTGAGTGCTCACTGGAAGGACAGATCCTGAAGCTGAGGCTCCAATACTTTGGCCACCTCATGAGAAGAGAAGACTCCCTGGAAAAGAGCCTGATGTTGGGAAAGATGGAGGGCACAAGGAGAAGGGGACGACAGAGGGCGAGATGGTTGGACAGCGTTCTCGAAGCTACAAACATGAGTCTGACCAAACTGCGGGAGGCAGTGGAAGACAGGAGTGCCTGGCGTGCTCTGGTCCATGGGGTCACGAAGAGTCGGACATGACTAAACAACTAAACAACAACAACAAGTACAAGTGTGTTTGTATGGATGTTCACAGAGTGTAACATCCATATACTCCTATAGTTATCTTAGCCAAGCCACTCATAATTGCCCATGTGGTACTGGTAGGACCTTGATTCTTTCACTGTTTCAAATAAACTGAACCAACTAGTGTTGTCGTTCAACAAAATCCTTGGAACCTGTGTTGTTCTCCGTTGCCTTTAGCTGTTTTATTAATTTCTCCACAAGTGCCAGTTCTAAAATGGCTTTTTAGAATGAGACGTACTTAAAAACAAGCCGCACAGTGCAAATGATTCCTCTGTGGAAAAGGAACCCAGTCTTCAAACTGTTCTGTGTGTGGAACCTTTCTGAAAGGCATTATACCAGAGTGGTCAAACATGAGCTGTGAATTATTGGGGCTTGAAATTGTACCTCAGCCATGAACTCATTGGCATCTGGCATACATGGGCAGATGCCAGGGCACCAGCACTATCGTGGGTCCCACTACTAATAAGAGTTGGAAGGGACCCCAGGGGTCATCTAGTCCAACCCCCTGTAATGCAGGAATCTCGACTAAAGCATCCATGACAGATGACCACCCAACCTCTGCTTAAAAACCTACAAGGAAGGAGAGACTACAACCTCCCAAGGGAGACTGTTCCACTGTCAAACAGCTGCTACAGTCAGAATTCCCGCCCCCTAATGTTTAGTCAGAATCTCCTTTCTTGTAACACTGGTTCAAATCCAACCCTCCAGAGCAGGAGAAAACAAGCTTGTACCCTCTTCCATGCGACAGCCCTTGGAATATTTGAAGATATTTAATACAGTGGTACATTGGTTCTCAAACTTAATCCGTTCTGGAAGTCCGTTCCAAAACCAAAGCATTCCAAAACCAAGGTGTGATTTCCCATAGAAAGTAATGCAAAATGGAGAATCCGTTCCAGACTTTTAAAAACAACTCCTAAAACAGCAATTAAACATGAATTTTACTCTCTAACGAGACCACCGATCCATAAAATGAAAACAATAAACAATGTACTGCAGTCACACACACAATCAATCAGTAGCTGAACTGGGTTCCACACAGTCACAAAAACAAAACAAAAAGAGCCGCAAAAACAAAACCACAAAATAAATAGCAAAAGAACAGACAGACCTCAGCGTAACACTCAAAACAGAGCACGTTCGGCTTCTGAAAAACATTTGCAAACCAGAATACTTACTTCCGGGTTTGGGTTCCAAGTTCTTTGAGTACCAAGGCGTTTGAGAACCAAGGTACCACTGTACCTGCCCTAGGCCCTCTTAACTTTCCCCCAAGCTTTGAACTCTGAGCAGCACCTGGGGGCTGGATCTAGCCATGCCGTTAATTTCCCACAATATCCCTGACTGAGCTTCACTTTAGGGCTTTGCGGGGAATTTCAAGGATGGCCACCACAGGCAGGTAAGCCCAAGTCTCACTGAAAGAGGAAGGGTCCCACCAGAGTGAATGTTGCTGAGGTACCTCTGCTGAGGTACTTCTAGAGAGATATTTAGTTGTAAAGTAATACTACTGTTGCTGTTGCTAACACAATTCCTCTGGGAAACAGATAGAAAGAGATCATTTTTAAAAGCTGCACAAGGCTGCCATGCTAGCAGGGGTGAAGGCAGTAGAGGAAATGAAGGAATCCTCCCCTGCTATGCCCTTCTGTCACCTCTGAAATGAACGGCAAATATTAGCAATTCTGAATGCATTAGTAACAGGTCGGCTTTCTTCTGACTCTCCTGCTAGCTGAAAGGGACTCCTTTAACATCACTAATATGCGACTCATACCAATGTTTTGGTAGCAAAGGACTGTCAGGAAGACAAATGCCTTTGCTGCCTGTGTCTATTAGGGACATAATTCGGGATGTGCAGCTATAGTTTTGAGGAAGAGCAGTGTGGGCTGTAAAAGCCATCTGCCCGGTACATTTTCTACAAGAGCAGAGATGGTCAGACTTTAATTGGAAACAAGAGCTGAGCCCCACATCTTGCAGCAGAGAAAAAGCTGGTCCACCCTCTGTGGGCGTATTTGACAGGTGGGGTGGGGCTCACCTGACGTAATATGATGTCAGGTGATTACACTTCAAAGGAAAAAGCAGCTGTATGGTTGTGCTGCTTCCCTTGGCAAAAGCGGAGCTTGCTTTTGATGCTGAATTCAGTGCCGAAAGCAATACCCCCTTGTGCCAGGGATGGATGGCGCTCGAGAACACTGTAAGAACATGCTAGGTCTGACTGGGAGATCCTAAATGCAGCTGATACTGGGGGGGTTTGCATTTGGTGCTGAGTTTAAAAATGGGGCAGGAGCAAGCATTCAAGTACTAGCTGCACTTCATATCTTCCTGTTCTGATGGAGTCCCCATTCATGATGAGGTTTTTATGTGCATTTACACGTGGGTGGCGCTGTGGGTTAAACCACAGAGCCTAGGACTTGCCGATCAGAAGGTTGGCGGTTCGAATCCCCGTGACGGGGTGAGCTCCCATTGTTCGGTCCCTGCTCCTGCCAACCTAGCAGTTCGAAAGCACGTCAAAGTGCAACTACATAAATGGGTACCGCTCCGGCGGGAAGGTAAACGGGGGTTTCCGTGTGCTGCTCTGGTTCGCCACAAGCGGCTTAGTCATGCTGGCCACATGACCCGGAAGCTGTCTGTGGACAAACGCCGGCTCCCTCGGCCAATAAAGCGAGATGAGCGCCGCAACCCCAGAGTTGGCCACGACTGGACCTAATGGTCAGGGGTCCCTTTACCTTACTCAAACACAATCGACCAACTCTGCTTCAGGCCTTCCCTGTTGATGCAGACAAGTCTGAAGTGGAGCTGGCGTATTCGGTGTTGGAAGTGAGGCTTGCATATTCACACCTGTCCTCTTCCCACTTCATGCATTTAGGCAAACACCAAAATGGAGCAGAAGCCCTAAAGAGGTATTACTTATGACTACAGTGGTACCTCCAGTGAGCTTCCTGGCTGAGTCAGGATTTGATCAGTCCTTAGTCTAGCACTCTGATCACTTGCATGCTGGTTAGATTTCCACTAGACAATTCCTTTCTGTTCATGTGTTGTTGTTTTTTGCTTTCTCTCTTTCACTGTGTTATTACCAGTTTCAAAGGAAGACTCTGAGAATGAATTATTGAAAGGATAACTCAATCTAGAGATCATCTTTTACCTCAGACTCAGTTCATTTGCCTCCAGGATCCTCTAGGATTCATGATATTGAGAAATATCTATACAGTTTTTCAGTTACTACGCAGTTTACCGCAGCAGATTCCACTTGGTAGGAGAGTGACACAATCTAGAAGACAGTGATGTGGATAATCCTGCTATTCCCCATCTTTAACTAATTATTTTCTTTCAGCTAATTGGGCTCTTTCTAAAGATGCACGGTTGACAGAAATGAAGGGTGAATGTTCTTCTTCAGAAACTTTGTAAGTTAATTCTTATGCACTTGCAGTTCTTGTGAAGTTAGTTCAAGTGATCTTCCTTCCCCCCTTTCATTAACTTACTAAGTTCACCGAACTTTAAAATTCATGCTGCCTTTTATCTTGGATAGGACTGATCAATATGATGCAATGGAGTGCTTGCATGAATGGGAGAGAGGCCCCCTTTTAGGAAACAAGGCAGACTTCACCAATCCTTGTTTGGGGCTATAACTCCTACCAGCCCCAGCCAGGCTGAAATAAGGGGTGAGCCTTTACATAAGAGAAGTGGCAGACATGGAGACTGCTCAGGCAGCAGTCCCAAGACGATGCTTACTTGCAATTAAGTTCCACAGGAATCAGTGAGATTTACAAGAAAAATGTGTTTGGGGTTAGAGCCATAACTTCCAGCCTATTTTCAGAAGCAATCCTGTTGCATTTAACAGAACTACCCTAGTAGATAAGGGTGTCGTAGTGTTACATCGTGGAAATTTGGCATATCGATTCCTTAAATACAGTGGTACCTTGGTTTGCAAACAGTCTGGTTTGCATATGTTTTGGATTACAAACACGTCAAACCCGGAAGTGCGTGTCCCGGTTTGTGAACTTTTTTTGGATTAGAACCCATTTCTTTTTGGATTACAATTTTTTTTTTGGCGAAAGCGTGCCTTGGGTTACAACCTGTTTTGGTTTACGAACGGACCTCCGGAACGGATTATGGTTGTAAAGCAAGGTACCACTGTAAATGAAAGTGAAGGAAACAGAAACTAAGCCACAAATCGGAATCTAGAAATACCTGGATTTAAGCCATTTTGATGAAGGTTCAGACATTAAAAGATGCGCCTATAAGTGGAACTGCTGTGTCCCACACTTCAGCATTCAGCTTTCACCTCCTAAGAAGCTAAATCATTTAACGGGCACAGAAGTCTTACTGTGTTGGAATTGAAGATGGATGAACTACCTTTTCCAGTGCATTTGTGTGTGTAAACGAGCAATGGTTTCCCACAGCAATCTGGACACAAAAACCGAAAATGTAAAAATGTATGAAGGCTTGGCATCAGAGAGCAAATAATTTGCACTTGGGGGATAAAATGTGGGACTAGAGCTGATGGGAACAAAGGGGAAGTATTGAGGAACAGCTGATAGAGTGGACTGATACGTGAGCAGTCCTGTATATTCCCACTTCTAAAGAGAGCATTGCATAGCGGTAGAGCATGAGACTCTTAATCTCAGGGTTATGGGTTTGAGCCCCATGTTGGGCAAAAGATTCCAGCATTGCCGGGGGTTGGACTAGATGACCCTCGTGGTCCCTCCCAACTCTACATTAATTCAGCTCTACAATTCTACTCCATCTCCTCAGAGTATTGCGAAAGAACAATGTCAATCAACATTTGATTATCTCCTTCCACAGTAGAAAGTATCCTTTCATACCGCATCATGGTGTGGTATGCTGGTTTGACATCAACGGATAGGAAGTGCCTACAGAGGGTGGTGAATACAGCACAAGATATTATGGGCTGTCCCGTGAATCCACTGGATGAAATAGCGGAAGAACGTTGCCTCAGGAGAGTGAGGAAAATTCTCAGGGATGATTCACACCCTGGCCAGCACTTTCTTGATCTCCTGCCCTCAGGCAGAAGATATAGAAACACCAACAGGGTAAAGAACAGCTTCTATTCGTGGGCTGTTAGGCTGCTGAATCAAAAGATAACAACAGGGCAACTGACTTTTAGGTTTGGTGGGTGTGCGTCAGTAAACGAGGGGAATTAAGACTAAGAGAGCTGAGTGGGGGGTGTTCGTGTAATCTCACTGTATACAAGTTGTACAAGTGACAATAAAGTATTTCAAATGCATAATTAATGTGTCAGTGGGATTTTGCTGCATGCACATGCAATAAAACAGAGGTGTATAGATGGGCCATTACTATTTGAAATTGTGCTTACCCACCAAGCAGGTGGTGTTCCGAGTACGTATATTTACATGAAAAATTGTCTTTGGCTGAAAGAGGAAGAGCCGAGACCCTTGGATTTTGCAAGGGGATCTATTGAGTCAAAGTACATTTTAGCATCTGATTCCCTCTTAGAAAGTAAACGAAAAATAAAAATGCCAAAGATAAGCTACAAAGCAAAGGAAATTGGACTATAAGACTATTGCTTTTCCCGAGCTGAGCTCCATGCCCTTCCCACTCCTAGCCTGTGGGAAAGCACTGTGATCAGAGGCCATGTTCATCTATTGCCACAGGAGTGTGCGGCAGAATGCCAACCTGTGCCCCTCACCCGATGTGTCAGATTACAACTCTGCAATTCCAGATGGCTTGAAACCGCATTCAAACCCACATGCAGCGGGACAAAATGGGCCATGAAATTGTGAACTTACTAAGCTTTTTCATGCAGTCTCGAAGCCTGGTTTCCAAACTGAGCACTCGCTGGTGGAGTTCCTCATAATCATAGGCACCAATTTCCTCCTGGATCCCGGTGAGGACTGAAGACAGATTTCTAATTTCCTCTTTGAACTGGGTGATTAACTTAGCATCAGTTTTGTACTGTTCCAGGACTGGTATCAGTGGCAGGAGCTCATCCATCTTTTCTTTCAGCTCCTGCGAAAAAAGCAGTGAAGTGTGCATTAGGGAAGTCTAAAAATGTTACGTCCTCTAAGTTCTTTAATAAAATTCTTTTATGCTTCTTATCAAATCTATGCCTGAAATTCCTATTGATCGTAGTATCAAAATTAGTGTCCCACGAGAGGTTTAGAAGCCCCGAGATGAATGGCTTTAAAGCTTTGGATAAATTGTATGTTCTTAAATAATGTTCTTAAAGAGAAACCATTTTCTTTTAAATCAAACCTTTCCCAGTATAGAATAAGAAGAACAGGAATATTATTTTTAAAGCTAGTTTGATCAGAAACATACATCCATTTAGTCCAAATAATGACAGAACGCTTAGCTATATACATGCATTTCACTATTATCATTGTGGTGTGTGAGAAAGCTAGTGAATTGATTTGATTTTTCTATTTAGAAGAGGCGATTGGTTGATCTGCACAGAACTGCCTCATCCACTAAGAGCATCCTGGGCACTTCAATAAGTGTTCAACACTGTCAAAGGTGACATCCTTGTCCACATGAAGACCCCTGAATCTAGGCTGGTGTGTTGATAAACAACCCCTCCTACCTGACTGATTCTTTTGCCAATATTTTAACCATGTACAAAACTGGCTATACCTGCCATTTGGCCAATCAAGACATGTATCAATAAAATGATTATTCCTCTAAAACTCCTCACAAAGCAGTTTCCCAGAGGAAAGGCTTTTGATTACACCCAAGTGTGTGGCTTGACCTTTATGCTAAAACATTTGGATTCTTCACCCACAGATAGTTTGTTTCTTCTAGATTTCTGTTAAGTACAGGCCTCCCCAGACCCCAAACTGATTCCGAAACTGTTTCCTTAGCCCACTGTACTACTTTGGTCAATACTTTAACCTTGCGTTAAACGAGTTCCATCAATCATTTTGCCTATCACCTGGTTTTGAAAGGTGATTTGGAAACACATACACCCCTTCTCCAATCCATTAAGAAAAGGTCTCAGCTTCTAAATCTGCAACAACAAAAATGGACTGGCCAGTTCATCTGAGTAGGAGGCAAATGCAGAAGAATGGAAAGATAACACGGAAGTATAAAAATGGTAGGTGGGTCCTAAGCGAACAATAATATTGGGGTTGTATCCAATGCCAGTCCTCCTCAGATGAGACCCATTGAAATTAATGAACACAACTAACTTAGGTCTAGGGATGCGGGTGGCGTTGTGGGTTAAATCACAGAGCCTAGGGCTTGGTGATCAGAAGGTCAGTGGTTCGAATCCCTGCGACGGGGTGAGCTCCAGTTGCTTGGTCCTTGCTCCTGCCAACCTAGCAGTTTGAAAGCACGTCAAAGAGCAAATAGATAAATAGGTACCGCTCCGGCGGGAAGGTAAACGGCATTTCCGTGCGCTGCTCTGGTTCACCAGAAGCGGCTTAGTCATGCTGGCCACATGACCTGGAAACTGTACGCCGGCTCCCTTGGCCAATAAAGTGAGATGAACGCCGCAACCCCAGAGTCGTCCGTGACTGGACCTAATGGTCAGGGGTCCCTTTACCCTTTACCTTAGGTCTATTAATTTCAATGATTTTACTCGAAGTGAATCTTGGTTTACGGCAACCACTGAGCAAGCAAGCTCACAAAAAAGGATAATCTGGATAGGACATGACTTGGTTCCACTGACTCCAGCAGAAATCATTGCCTGCCTGCCTGCACTGGGTTTTGGCATTTGCTCATTTGGAATAAAGAGAATCGCTACATTTCATGATACATTACTAAAGTGGTTCTAATAAGAAAGCTTTGCCTATGATGGTTGAGAAATGCCCTCATGATGTTGAGAGAAATGAGCTGATATCGTAAAATCAGTCTTCAGCTCAGTGAATAGGTTTATCCCTTGAGGTGTTTTTGTTAGTACTGTACCATGTTGCATAATAATGACGATAGTGGTTCCAGTGTTTTGACAAAAGTACATTTAAATTAATTGTATCAACCATTTCAATTTAATGAATTTTTTTATGCAGGGGGGATATCACCTCGGAAATATTAATTCCGGTGATGAGGTGGGGTAAAAATCCACAGGCAATGTCAAAAGGCATGTTTTACATATAGCTAATTTAAATAGATGTAAATTGCATTTTTAAATTACATGCGGAAATGTTATTACCATAAATGCATTAGAGTAACTAGAGCCCCCTTTGCAGTTCTCTTATATAATGGTATACTCATGAGGAAAATTCCACTTTTTGTTGATGCCCAGAAATCTTGAAATGATATCCGCTCGGAAAGGATGAATCGAGGGAGTGTTTTGTTAGACACAGAACCATAAACTCACACAGACCTTCACAAATGGGACATTAAATCCTCTTTCTGTTCCAGAGATCTTAATTTATGAACACAGTGACATGACTATGTACATTGTTGGGCTTCGTTTCAATAGTGGTTTCGATATGGGCAAAAGGAAAGAACTATAGAAGGAAACAACCATATGTCAGGAGTGCTCTGATGGTGTTTCCTGCTTGGCAGGGCGTTGGACTCGATGGCCCTTGTGGTCTCTTCCAACTCTATGATTCTATGATAGACCTCAGACTCCATTTCCTGAAGCAACTTACAGGAGTCCCTTACTCTATGAAGAAGAAGAAGAAGAGTTTGGATTTGATATTCCGCCTTTCACTCCCTTTAAGGAGTCTCAAAGCGGCTAACATTCTCCTTTCCCTTCCTCCCCCACAACAAACACTCTGTGAGGTGAGTGGGGCTGAGAGACTTCAAAGAAGTGTGACTGGCCCAAGGTCACCCAGCAGCTGCATGTGGAGGAGCGGAGACTCAAACCCGGTTCCCCAGATTACGAGACTACCGCTCTTAACCGCTACACCACACTGGCTCTCTATGAGGCAAATGGGCTTAATTTGTTCACGGTTGTTCTTCCTTTAACAAACTTGAACAATATATATGTCAAGGGAGACATAAGATGGGCAGTTCATGTGCGTAACAACCAGCCATTGTGCATAATTCACCTGGCCTCTTGGAACAGGGGTCAGCAAACTTTTTCAGCAGGGGACCAGTCCACTGTCCCTCAGACCTTGTGGGGTGTTGAACTATTTTGAAAAAATATATGAACGAATTCCTATGCCCCATAAATAACCCCACAAATTCCTATGCCTCACAAATAAAAGCACACATTCTACTCATGTAAAAACATCAGGCAGACTCCACAAATAACCTAGAGACCCATTTTAAATAAAAGGACACATTCTACTCATGTAAAAACACGCTGATTCCCGGACTGTCTGCGGGCTGGATTTAGAAGGTGATTGGGCCGGATCTGGCCCCCAGGCCTTAGGTTGCCTACCCATGTCTTGGAAGGATTCTCTATGAAGTCCGGTGAATGTTTACAATGGCTGGCTGATATGCACACTAACTGCTCAATTTATAATCCTCTTAACATATGCATGAACACTCATCTTTAAACATTTGTGTACATGCAGATAGGTACTCTGGTCCAGAGCACACCAGGCACCCCTGCCTGGCGTGCTCTGGTCCATGGGGTCACGAAGAGTCGGACACGATTAAACGACTAAACAACAAGAACTCTGGTCCAGGGTCTTTTACAGCATAGTGTGGCAGCAATCAGACTCGGGAGGAGTGCTGTGGCTGTGAATTTTGCTCTGGGAAGCTGCATGTTTGCTTATTTGCACCAAGCCATGATTTGGCACCTGGGCCAAAGTGGTACTTATTGCCTGCAGTTAGATGAGCATGAAGGCTGTGGTTTAAGATCTGAAGATTGTATTTTTCAAAGAAAAGAAAAGAAAAGGAACCAAATGGACTGGTACACTTTTATGCCTGAGAATTTTTTTTACAAAGGATCCAAAATGATCCAAATGCAGCCTTGTATTTAATCCTGGTAGCCAAAGCCAAGCGAATGGGATCCTGTGCAGTTGAGTGAGTGGGCTGGCAAAGGAGGAATGGAGCAATCTCTCCCTCCTTTGTGCCCTAAACAGAACCATGTAGGCTGCCAGAAGAAATGAAAATATCTGCATTCAGCAGGCTACTGAAGAAGGGGCAGCACTCTTCATCCCTCTGCTGTCAGCTCATAGCAGGTTGGTGTTGGGTTGTTTTTTTTTTTTTTGCAGCTAATAACTTTCGTGGCGCCAATAACTTTCGTGGACGCGGGTGGCGCTGTGGGTTAAACCACAGAGCCTAGGACTTGTTGATCAGAAGGTCGGCGGTTCAAATCCTAGTGACGGGGTGAGCTCCCGTTGCTCGGTCCCTGCTCCTGCCAACCTAGCAGTTCAAAAGCACATCCAAGTGCAAGTAGATAAATAGGTACCGCTCCGGCGGGAAGGTAAATGGCGTTTCATGCTGGCCACATGACCCGGAAGCTGTACGCCGGCTCCCTCGGCCAGTAAAGCGAGATGAGCGCCGCAACCCCAGAGTCGGTCACAACTGGACCTAATGGTCAGGGGTCCCTTTACCTTTACCTTTAACTTTTGTGGGCATCCCTACAGATGAGGAATGTCTACCCAGTGTACTCGATTCTGCTCTCCAGGCACTAGTTCAGGAACTGCAATTCTCAGTTGGATGCACAGACTCAATGACAAAGCTGACATCACTTAGCAGGGAAAGCTTCATAAGTAGGGAACACATGAGTGCTCAGATTGTCTGTAATAATCAATGGGTAGAAATGCATTTTCTAAAAGATCCTCCCATTTCCTGCACACACTCTAAGAGGCAGATCAGCCTTTTCAGAATGTGAACGAGATAAAAACACCGTAATGTGACTATGATATCCACAGGGCGACAGATTGCTTCTTTTTCTCCGCAAGTGAAATAGGCTTTTTATAAAAAAACAACCCACCTCTTGATTGAAATTTGTTTGAGCTAATTCAGTTGCTTAAGATGTCTGATCAAGCATATGCCAGTAAAAGGAAAACTGAACCTCTATTTTACAAGTTTTCAAAAGTGGGCCATATTGGTTACAGATAAGAAATGTGTTCATTGCATTCTAACACAACTAGGAAGCATATAAATTGCACTTTGGTCATTGTGCAAACAAAGCCTTCTCTGTACCATTGTGCTCAGTCCCCAGTTTAAGCATGAAGTACACTGAGCAATCTCACAGATTGCTCTTCCAAAAGAAAGAAGCATGGCCTGTTATTCTGACCTTTTAAAATTACTGAGTAATATGATTGCTTTGCACTCCTTTTAAAATGCCAGTCAAAGGACCCAATCAAAGCTGAAGGTCCAGCCAATCCAAATATCGGGTCTTTTAAAAGGTTACAGTGTTCAGAACATGATGTTGCCCTTGACAGCTCTCATTGGAACTGCTGGATGCTGACCTTAACGCTAGGGCCACGAAAAGTCTAATGACAATACAAAATACTTGAATGGCACAATACAAGCTTCCCATTATTGCCAATGATGATAGGAATCGTCGTTGAGTCTTGTACGGCTATGGACATATCCTGTAGTTACACCATTCTGAACCTTTCTTGGGCAGGAAAAGAACATCTTAAAGGGAGCGTTTCTCCAACCGAGACAACCTGGTTTTGTTTTTGAATTGCTCTCGTCCATAGGTTAGATAGTGGGGAGCATTTCTGAAAGCTACCTGTCAGAGCAGGCGGGTGAGAGGAGGTGAAGCAAGGCAGCCAGAGGAGTCTAGAAGAAAGGTGAGTTGACTTGTTGACAGAATGGGGAGCCAACAAACTGGTAATGCAACACACTGTTGAGCAGGGCAGCTAAGAGACAGAGAAGCTGGGAGAACGGCAACTTGGCTTTTGTTGGAAAGTCAAGTTGCTCTGACTGAGCAGGAGCCAGACTCATTGTAGAGCCATGTAAAATGCTATTGGCTCCGTTGTGTCATTTGATCTCTTTTCTGGCCCTCTGCAGTACTGGCACAATGCATTGCAGAGAGTAGGCCAGAAGATCCCTCTTCTGCCAAGTTACCATATTGGTGCAGTGAGAAAGGAGCTGGGGTCTAATGGCCCTGGTTAGGGATGAGCTAGTTGTCTCCTCTAGTGACCTATAACCTCACTCTGTTCTGGTGAAACCTGTATAATCTCTAAAATTGGTTCCAGTCTAGATTTCAGAACTGGAGCATGTGCAGTTTGTCCTAGTTTTCCATTTCTTTGGTTCATTTGTAGCTTCTCTGACACCCCTGCCTTGGCAAAGTGCACAATTGCATTGCTGTTTGTTTGTTTTAACTCTTCCAAAAAGAAATCAGAAGCAAGCTTGGATTGTTACTTGTTGCTTGCTTTCATTCCTCTACATTAGAACACCACACAAAAAGAATCAAAAGGTGCAATCACAAATAACAAGCATATCAAAACACTTTTTTGCAGAGGGTTGTGGTGTCTTTTCCACTGTGCACATGCATGTAAACTAGACAAGGGAGAGAGAGAAGACAGATACAGATAGCAGCACTCCGTACAAATGTCAGGGGGGAAAATGGATTTGAAATGTAAAGATCTTTCATTCTGCAGAATTATCTTCTTCAGCAATTGTATATAGTGACAAAGTTGTGTGTAGTATGTAATTGGAAGTCTCCAAAGCAATCATAATGGTTTGTATTCAGCGCTGTCTTTAGCATATGTGCTGCCAGGGTGCAAAGATCCGCCCAGCGCCTCCAAATTAACTTTTATTATGCTTATGTCAGACACCACGCTTATGCCTTATCTCTTGTTTACAAAAGAAGGGAGGAAAAAGAAACAAACTTTTTTATTTGCTCATTTATTTATACACAACACCACCACACTTAAACTTGTAAGTATTGTTTATGCACCTACTTAGGAGTAACATCAGTCGTGTCAAAGGTGCCATTGACCCTGCTGCCGCATAGCAGCTCAACACGATACGTAACATAATATTTTGATGTAAGAGTTAATTTCGTATGCATGGCACAGTTGTGAATGACAAGCGCCGCCATTGCGAATGACAAGCGCCGCCGCTGGTGCGGCGCATCTTTGGTAAATGAACGCACAAAGTTGAAAGTCCTTTAGTGAAACAGTAGGTATACATTTTGGTAATACCTAGGTATATATGTATTTTGTTTTCCTAGCTTGATCGAAATTATTTATTATTTCATAACAGGTAGATTGTTAAGAGCTTCAGCTGCTTGTGGCTGGCGCCCCCAGAATTCAGCGCCTGGGTGCCCCACTCCCCTTGCACCCTCTGGTAAAGACGGCCCTGTTTGTATCCAGTGTTGCGCCAGAGCGGCTTTGCTGGTGTAACAGGACTTCAGTTTCCTCTGTCTACGAGCCCCCAGACCTGCTCTGGAGGCTCCCCTCAAGCCCCAGCTGTACAGTTATGTACATAATCCGCAAGTGCAGCAATCAAGGAATCCTCATTATGTATTGTGGCATGGGGGTGTTCATTTATTTCCTATGTGGAAGCCATTCAAAAGTGTGATCAAATTCCAGCCAAATACAAGTGTCTGGCTACAATGTACATTCTACATATAGCATAGTCAGTGAGCTAGTTGTTCAACGTGCATAATAATCAAAGGATTGATGATTATCAGTAAGTTTGTTTTTTTCTTAACTGATCTTGTTCCACCGCAAGTTCCTTTCCTTGCTTGTATTTTTAACTTTGTCTCAAAATAAAATTCTGATTAAGGAAGGGGGAGGGAGGAAAAAAAAGGCAGTTGGTTCCACTTCCAGGAAAAAATTGGATTAAAAAAATCAGACGAGGGTAATTATGTAAGGAACCATCCCAATTATGTTGCTGCTGCAAAGGTAGTGACTGTGGAAAAAATAGAAAAAGAGGCGCTCAACTCTTCCTGTTTTTGAATGGATTGAAAATATCTGGTCTATTGTGACGATGATTAAACTAACTGACTAAAGGCAGTTACAAACTCAACCCGATAAATTGATGGAGAAATAGGAGTTCTTCTAGATGCTTGGAATAACAAGCACAGAGATGACATGCAGCCTTATGCAGTTTTCAACCTGTTGTAATGTTATTATTTGGAACTTTTGTTGCTGGTACATTGTAAAACTTAAAAATATTAACAAAAATAAAATAAAACGAACTACATTACTTCATGTTTAACAAGAGCCAACAACCTATCATGCCTTTTTTAAAAAAAACCACAACAAACCCACAGTGCTACTAATTAAAGGCATAGGCAAACTCTGGTCCTCCAGATGTTTGGGACTACAATTCCCATCATCCCTGACCACTGGTCCTGTTAGCTAGGGATGATGGGAATTGTAGTCCCAAACATCTGGAGGACCGGAGCTTGCCTATGCCTGAATTAAAGCAACATGAACTTCTCTCCTTATAAACTTTCCCACCCTGGGAAGTACAGAATGTCAGAGTTTAAAGGGACACTATGGCTCCTTGCTCTTTTCTTATTAATTCTGCCGGGTGTGCTTCATTTATCACAAGCAGAGGCTGTTTTGCATCTAAATCGCCTGGTGGGAACCCCATCACGGATGCCGCGAAAATAGTATTCTGTTCTGCAGTGGTGACATTCCCCCCCCCCTATTGTGTCAGTAATTAATGGTCACTTCCCATCACAGCAAAACGCTGCAGCGAGAGGGATGATCGCGGCAGAAACAAGGGGGTTCATTATGGGCTTACCGACAAGCGTTTCAAGTCGACAGCTTTGCCGGCCGCACATTGTTTCTCACAAGCACATCACTTCTGGCAGTCATTCAAGTGATCATTAAAAGAAGAGAAAAGTCAAACATACTTGAAAATGCTTTGTCATTAGTGTCTTCCGGTCATCTTCAATTTGCCGGAACTTGGCCTTCAGCCCTTTCATTTGTGTTTCCATCCTTAAAACGTACTGGAAATCTCTCTGAGTCCGTAGGTTTAAAACTTCAATGGACTGGGACATATTCTGAACCTGTTAAGGAAGAACATCAATTATGCTCTCAGAATATACTGTCTATCTATCTATATACTTAAGTTTCTGTTCCCACACATAAAAATGCTGTTATATCAAACGCTGAATGATACGCTGGCATGTGTCAGCATTCAGATTTGCTAGGCATTTTGCTGAGCTCTGAAATTCACAAGAACAGCGAATTGGAAACACAGTCTCGTTTTGTACAGGTACGACCCCTTCTAAAATTAATGAGACTGTGGAGGTACAGAATTCGAACCTGTCCCTTTACCCCATCAAACAATGCCTGCAAAAAAGAACATATTGTGGCAACTCAGCAAAAGAGGAACATCGATGCTGAGGCAGAGCTGCATATTTTTGCACAAATATATATGTTAAATACTGTAGTAGCCTGAAGCAAGGTGTGTGTTGCTTTTAGGTCAGTTCAGGACAGTGCTGGGGATCAGTAACAACCGCAGGCTGGTATGGAAGCAGTCTCTTATGGTTGCTTCATACATGACATAGTTTAAAGTGCACACCTAAGTAGGTGTGAGTGTATGGCTAAAAGATGTAAATGCTGTGAACACACACACACACACACACACACACACGTGCACACACACACACACACACAGACAGACACCCACCCACCCACCACACCCACCCACCCACAAATATATACCGTATTTTTCGCTCTATAGGATGCACTATAGGACGCACCCGACCACAGGACGCACCTTGTTTTAGAGGGGGAGAACAAGAAAAAAAAATCCTCCCCCTCTCTGCTCAGCACCCCTTCAGCAAAGCGGCAGGAGAAACGGAGCCTCTTCCATTTCTCCTCCCGCTTCGCTGAAGGGGCACTGCGCAGCTCTCCCTCTCTGCTGAAGCCAGGAGAGTCTTGCTCTCCTGGCTTCAGCAAAAGGAACCCGAAGCCTCCGGAGCGCAGCGCGAGGTCCCGCTGCACTCCAAAGGCTTCATTCGGCTATCCCTGAAGCCTGGAGAGCGAGAGGGGTCGGTGCGCACCGACCCCCTCGCTCTCCAGGCTTCAGCGAAAGCAATGCGAAGCTTGGGGAGCACGGAGGGAGCGCTCCCTCTGCGCTTCGGAGGCTTCGCATTGCTATCGCTGAAGCCAAGGAGCCTGCATTCGCTCCATAGGATGCACACACATTTCTCTCTCTCTCTCTCTCTCTCTCTCTCTCTCTCTCTCTCTCTAACATTGGCTTAAGCTCCTGCTTAGGGATGCTTGAGGATTACATGCAGTCTGTATTTTTAAATAAAACAACTGGACTCACATTTCCCAGACTGATAGGGATATCCAAATGCAGTTACCTTTCGTATTGATACTTAGAAGTCATATCGAAATGCATATAAAAGCCACACTTTAGTGTAAAATGCCAAAGTAATGCATATTTCATGAAAAACATGTACAAAAATAATGCACTTTTTACAAGTTCCCAGGCTGATACAGAAACAAAATGGAATGGGTTTAAGAACAGATGTGAAAGCAACGCAGATCAAAAATACAGTGGTACCTCAGGTTAAGTACTTAATTCGTTCTGGAGATCCGTACTTAACCTGAAACTGTTCTTAACCTGAAGCACTATTTCTGGGTTAGCGGAATCTGTAACCTGAAGCGTATGTAACCTGAAGCGTATGTAACCTGAGGTACCACTATAGACTGAACCATCCATCTCTGCTCCTGGTCAAATAAGCACCTGGCAAACTTTATTTGCTGTCATCAGTGGTATGGCTCTGCCACTCTCCTGACCTCCAGTTGGTTGCATTGCTGCACACCAGGCGGTACAGTGGTTGCCACAGTGCAAACGCACCTGCATTTCCTTGCCTCTGCCACTGTGTTTGCACCCTGTCAACCTCCCCTTCCCAGTAAGTGGAAGTGGTCAGGTGAGTGCCACTGCTGTCATACGCATCTTTTGGGTGTGCCCCAAGCTTTTCATGTTTTAGCTCCTGCCTCTTCCCCACTGTAAAACTGCTAAAAGTTCCCCTTTCCTTGAGCTTCAGATACATGTTGGTTGTTGAGGAATGCAGGAGACTGGTTTCAGAAGGATGGAGGGGAAGGCAGAGCCCCTGCTGTTCTCACAGAGCTTGCTGGGCAGCCTTTGGGCATCATCTATAGTGGTTAACTGAGGAATGAAGACCAAAGAGTTCAGGGGTCTAGGACCAAATACAGCCTCAGAAATACAAAAACAAAATAAAACAGGGTGGCATCTGAATGGGGAATTTTCAGGTGCACCAAAGAGGAGAGTGACTTCTTTTTTGAGTACAACACTTGACTTTGGATGGATGTTTTCTCGTGCTAATTTGAAGTCACTCAAGAACTCAGGGCTCTCAGCGACCAATTCATCACTTTCAGTGTGCTTTCTTGATTGCATTAGGACACTGGGCCTTTGCTCATCCAAGAACTCTTTAGCCTAGGGAATCAATTGGATTGTACACTTCAAATTCTGTGACACAGTCTTGGTTCAAACAAAAATGCACTATTTTATGGGGGAAATGTGCACACAAAATGAATAGTTTAAAGGGAAATGTATTGAAACACAAAACATGCATTTTAAGGCTGGAATGTGTACCAAAACGCATAAGATGTGCATAATAAATTCTAATAATAATAATAATAATAATAATAGCACATTTTTGTGCATTAAAAAATCCAAAATAATGGGATGGAAGGGACCTATGATTGAGAGAAAATGACATGGAACAGAAACAGGCTTCCCTATTCAGCTGCCACTGTTTTAAAAGAGAGTATATATCAGATGACACAAAAATGTTAAGTATTCTAGTTCAGGAATTGGCAAATTTGATTTCATTACTTCTCAATTCATAATCCCAAAATACTGTGCAAAAGAAATGTCTAGATGGGATTTTCAATAGGGGAGAAAATAAAATGAAGTGGGGAGGCTGAAAAGACCAGAAATGTGGGGGGTTGGGGGTTGGGGGGGAATAAAATATAGCATGCTTCTGCTAATGTTTCAGGTGCTGTGAACCATATTATGTGGCTTCTCAGAAGTATGGCATCTCCTTGATGGGGGGTTGCCACCATCCTTTGAAAGGATGTATTGTGAGAGTGGTTCCATCAATATTCAGACCTCAGGGGCCTTAGAACCACTAAAAAAAAAAAAAAGGACGACCAGAAGTGCAACCACCTTCTGTGCTGAGGAGCAGAACTGCTGACATAAATAGCTATTTCGTGTCAAGTTCACCCCCACCTACCCTATAAATTCTGGGCGATCTTAGTGCTGGTGTGACATCACCACATCACGTACTTCCCCATTCCCACTCTGAATCACTGCCAGATTTGTTGAAACACCGGGATCAGGGTCTTTGATGTGGGGTCATGGTTTTAGTTCAGCCCTGACTCTTGATACATTGGAGTGCATATATTTATTTTCCTTTCAAAGCCCCCGAATTCTATACTTTCCTGATACTTTCCTTTTTGATGTGTCTGTGCTTTGGAAGATGCGAGACAGCGATATCTGTTTAAGTACAAAGCGTCTCATCCCCCGCCTTCCCTGAACTATGCTAGTGTTTTCTTCTGCAAGTACTTGGAAGTGCAACCTGCACATTGGATCTCCTTCTCACTGAAATAAAAGGAGAAAGAAGAAGAAGAAGAAGAAGAAGAAGAAGAAGAAGAAGAAGAAGAAGAAGAAGAAGAAGAAGAAAGCCCTGGTGTCCAGACATATACCCACAAATGCCTCAACATTTCCTTTTGCAATCAGCCTTCCTCACACTGTACTGGAAGCAGCTTCCTCCAGCCCCTTGAGATTGGGTTCACTCTTCCCACCTTGGATCAAATCTATGTTTCCAGGTGTCATAAGAAAGCTGCAGAGATAGTGCAGGATAGTGTGTACCCCAGAAATGATCTCTTTCAGCTTCTGCCTTCTGGAAGAAGGTACAGGGTTATAAAGACTAGGACTAGCCGCCTGAGAAACAGTTTCGATCCAAATGCAATTTTGGTTTTAAACGCAGTGTAAGGTAGTCTCTATGGGAGTATATTGTATTTAATTATGGGGTATCGGAGTTTTTAGGGGGCTAACCAGGCTGGGATAGCTGGGATAGTAGGCTTGTTGGTTTTTGAATGTCCGATGTAGATTTTTTCAATTTCGTTGTTCTGTATGGGACAATGACAATAAAGATTATCGTATCATATTCAAGAGTGAATTGTTGTGGTATAAACTGCAGAGTGGAGAGCCATGGTGCCCACATGGAAGTCTGTCCATGGTGCTTTAGTTCCAACCTTTGCCAACTGACTCCCTGGCTTCATCTTCACAAATGGAGGAAGCTCCATACTGAAAAGCATTATACCTTGGAACACTTTCATAGTCTGATTGTGAGCTTCCAGTGGCATCTTTCAGTGCTAGAACAAGATGCAGATGGCCACCAGCAATTAGAAGCTGGACAGCAGGTAAAGGTAAAGGTAAAGAAAGGTAAAGGTGTGGGAATGTTGAGGGTGGCAAGAGAGGATATATTGATTATTAATATGCTTCCTAACTTGCGCTAGGAAGTTTCTTCACTCCCCCCCCCCTTTGCAGCAGAAAACCGGTTGTAGACTTGTGTGAGACTTTTAAGACAACAAACAATTCAATCTGGCTTGCCCAGATTGAGATATGTTCTTTTATTCCTGGTAAGACCCCTTTGATCCCTCCTAAAAGAATAAAGACACAACAGTCTTATTCATAAGTAACAAAAAATAGTTTTACTCATGAACAGTCAGAGCACAGTGTGATCCCTGAAGGCAAGCTTTAGGCTTAAAGTTACAAACATGTACAAACAGGTTTACCCCATATGGGAGATAACCTGGGGGGCTGCTGGCTTGCAGCAGTCCAGTCCAGGTGAATCAGGAATTTGGCAGGACGAAAAAGAAGATCGAAGAGAGGGAGATGGCTGAGTGACTTGGTATTTTACCAGGTCTGGAAAGGTCACGCCCACCTACTAGTTACATGCAAGGAAGGATGCTCCAGGTCAGGAGGAACAGGAAGTTGCGACTGGCTGGAATAACATTCCCTGCATGACCACTCTAGCAAAACAGGTAATGTTGTACTTGACTGCTCCCAGTGGATTACATCCCACAAAAGGACCCCTGGACGGTTAAGTCCAGTCAAAGGCGACTATGGGGTTGTGGTGCTCATCACACTTTCAGGCTGAGGGAGCCAATGTTTGTCCACAGACAGCTTTATGAGTCATGTGGCCAGCATGACTTAACTGCTTCTGGTGCAACGGAACTCCATGGCAGAAACCAGAGTGCATGGAAATGCTGTTTATGTTCCCGCTGCAGCGGTACCTATTTATCTACTTGCACCGGTGTGCTTTCAATCTGCGAGGTTGGCAGGAGCTGGGACCAGAGTGACAGGAGCTCACCCTGTTACGGGGATTCGAACCAACGACCTTCTGATCAGCAAGCCCAAGGGGCTCAGTGGTTTAGACCATAGCACCACCCATGCCCCATAGGACAGCAGGACTGAGCAAGCACACAGCTCACCCAGTCACAGTCTTCTCCATTGGGGTAAGGTATATGTTATTTCTGTTTAAGTTATAGCAATGAATCAATGTGCAAATTGTATGAAGGTGGGTGCCTTCTTCTTTGGTAATGCATTTCCTCATTTTTGGTGCTGCTTAAATGACCAGCCTAGAGTAGGTGGACCTCTGACCTGATGCAGCAAGGCGTACTTTAAACTTTTAAATTTGTAAACCAACTCAGCCCTGAGGGATAGGTTGGGTCAGAAGTTCCCACAGATGCAGACAACAATGCTATGGATTTGTGATTACTTAATCTTCTGTAACTCTGCTCCTAGTTTAAAAAGACTGCAAAGCTGGTATTTCATCAAAATGCAGATTTGCTACTTATCTAGCTCTTAGCGCTTTTTGAGAAACTGCCAGTGATAATAGCAAATCCACAACTTTTATTATCCTTGTCGCTATGCAAGTCAAGCAAATAAAACACCCCTTAGAACTGTGACAAAACTAGGGCTGTTTGTTTTGCTAGAGTTGCTGTTAATCTGAATCTGTAAGAAGATTCAATGCGACATAAAAGGGAAATTCCTTGCATGCTCAATGTGATTAAATTAAAATAATTTTATTAGGGCTGTACTCAATATCATTCAGATTTGCTTTTGTGGCTGAAAATACTATGGGGAAGAAATAGTTCCAGAAACACTGACTGTGTGAATAGTATTTTTTCTGAATATTGTTCAGAAAAACTGAGTAGTAGTCATTATTCTACCCCCCTGAGCTTAAGGAGCATTAATTCCAATGGGCCTACTTTGAGTAAAATTTAGTTGAATACAACCCACTGTTTCCCATCATTGCTGCCACTACTTTGGCGCCATTTTGTTTCCCAGGCCGTTCCTTCTGCCTACTTCCTAGATTAGTCACATGATTGATTCCTCACAATCTGGGATCATACAGTGAATAGGATAATGTCACATGGCTAAGTAACCAATCATATTTGCCTACATGATGTTGTCACTGAGAGCAAGCAAAGTCAATGAAGATTGAGAGCAAGCTAGTATGTTTTTTGTGAGGAGTGCGAAACTATACTGTTGAAAAGGGGAGGGTTGGGGTTTTTTTTGCCATTGCTGTACACGTTCATAAAAATACAGGAGCAGTCTGAGTTTGTGCAGAATATTTTGGGGTTTTTAAGCAAGACCTGTGGCAAGGGTGGGGCTTATGGTAAAAATCACAAAACACACTACAATTTGATTTAATGTCTGGACTCGACAAATTCATGGAGAAAAGGTCAGGTTTTAACTAATTGGCAGTTAATCCTTTAAAAACTGTATTGATTACAGTCACAGACCAATATAATTTGTTACACTCGAATAATATGCATTAAAAAGATATGGATGAATTTACCGAAGAACCAAAAAAAGAAGTTCTCACTTTACCATCTGCTTCCACATTTATATTAAAGAGACAAGGAATTTAGCTACCTTATACGTAACATAAATAGAATTGACGATTACGCAAAAAGATATCAGAGTTTCAGTGGATCTTCTTGTTGAGTTCTTAATAAAGGGGGTGGGGGCACAGGCTCTTTGGGCTCCATATACAAATTGCAGTGTCTTTCCGATTTCACAAAGATGAAGTCACTCACCAAGAAGAGTCTTACTGAACTGGAGGGCAGAGCCAAGAAAAACTACATGGTCAGAGGCTGAACAGCTCTGAGAACTAGTTTCTGGGAGACAAATAATGGTGAAGCACTGTTGCCTTTCTGCCTTTCCAGAGAAGCAGCCTAGAGATGTCTGACTGGCTACTCTACCATCAGGAAATACTGGCTGAGGTAGATTCAGAAGGCCCCATCTTATGCTTTTGTTATTCTGGAAGTGATCTCCTTTACTTCAATAGGTTGTCTATCAAGGATGCGGTTTATAGCTACGGATATGGAAAACATCAGTGCTGCGAAATTGCCGGAAAGCCTTGAGAGCATTTTAGTGCAAGAGTGTATATGGCATGGTCCCTTTGTTAACAAACAAACCCGGAACAGGAGCAGCTACACAAATATTCCCTTATTATTTTAAAACTGAAGTCTATAACCTCACCCTCCACCACCGTGCTCATGAATTCTTTGCTTTTATTTCACAATGCCTGAGCCAATGTAACATCTGAAACTTCGAGGAACAGCAGCACGACAACCCAGCTGTTTTTAAAAGCCTTGTGGCTATGTGTGCCTATTGATGTGGAATATTGCCTTTCTCCTGGTTTGTCCTCATGTTGTGATTTCTTAGAACTGGTCCACACATATGGATCCCTTGCCTATTTTTCTGCACTTGATTACTGCACAATTGATGACTAGCCTTGAATCACACCTTATCTCTGGAGCCAGTTGTGGGTTTCTCTGTGGAGAAACTCTACTGTGGAGAGAAGGATTCCATGCTTTGATCTATCACATGAAAACAAACACTGCATTCATTCATTCATTCATTCATTCGATCGTTTGTTTGTTGGTAGTAGGCCACTCTCTTTATTCTGCATAAATTTACTGCCACTCCTACCCATAATATTATTAATTTGGTGTATGAAAGAGAAACCTTAAAAAACCTGCAGAAACAGTTCAATAATATCAGATTCCAGATCTTCAACAGGGATAGCCTACCATGTTAGGTAAAGGTAAAGGTACCCCTGACCATTAGGTCCAGTCGTGACCGACTCTGGGGTTGCGGCGCTCATCTTGCTCTATGGGCCGAGGGAGCCGGCGTACAGCTTCCAGGTCATGTGGCCAGCATGACTAAGCCACTTCTGGTGAATCAGAGCAGTGCACGGAAACGCCGTTACCTTCCCGCCTATTTATCTCCTTGCACTTGGATGTGCTTTCGAACTGCTAGGTTGGCAGGAGCAGGGACCGAGCAATGGGAGCTCACCCCGTCGCGGGGATTCGAACCGCCAACCTTCTGATCAGCAAGTCCTAGGCTCTGTGGTTTAACCCACAGCGCCACCCGCGTGTAGGCTATTTCAAGAGCATTTCTTTAAGCTGAATTGACGAGGGTTTCTCATTTCCTGAGTGTAGACACTAGCCACCAAAACAAGGACTTTTGACTTGTAAAAAGGTATTACAGAAAGGTCATAGGGTTGCTACCTTTTCACATGGCAAATTGTGGACAATTCAGACTGCAGCCTTAAGCTCACTTACCTGGGAGTAAGTCCCACTGAAAACTCTGGGAGTTACTACTGAGCACTTATGTGTAAGTCTGTCAGGAACCATGTCAGTCAGCACAACAAGAAGAACATCAAGGGGCTTATTATTTATCAGCAAGTATTATAATAACAGAAGTACATAGTTGACGAAACATCTAAAATACCTGCCTGCAAAGGGGTGGGGAGCTCTTGCTGCCTGGAAGCAGTGGCTCATGAAGAGATGCAATATGTAGCCTCCTCTACAGGTTATTTTTCTCTCTGCCATGCCCCAACATTTCATTCTGTCAGGACTAACTCAGAATGAGAGACCACTTCCTCTGACAGTATCACTGACTCTCACCTAGGGCCATTGGTTATAGACAACTGAGCCTGAGACCAAAAGCCCAGGAAATTTTAAAATAAAAAATAATTTAAAAAATAGTCCCGGAAATGATGGCCCATCAGAGCTGGCGGCCAATCTGGGGTATAACAATAAAATAATGAACAGGGTGGTGATACAATGACCACTGCAATCAACACAAGATAACATCACCAAGGCAACTATCTGTAAACAAACAATGAACATCCATAAAAATGGATCAACTCTTTATTTACTGTGTTTGCTATTGTTTAAGATAAAAACTCTCCTTCATGGATCACTGTATGGAAGTGAGAGCTGGACCATAAAGAAGGCTGATCGCCGAAGAATTGATGTTTTAGAATTATGGTGCTGGAGGAGATTCTTGAGAGTCCCATGGACTGCAAGAAGATCAAACCTATCCATTCTTAAGGAAATCAGCCCTGAGTGCTCACTGGAAGGACAGATCCTGAAGCTGAGGCTCCAATACTTTGGCCACCTCATGAGAAGAGAAGACTCCCTGGAAAAGACCCTGATGCTGGAAAAGATGGAGGGCACAAGGAGAAGGGGACGGCAGAGGATGAGATGGTTGGACAGTGTTACAGAAGCTACCAACATGAATTTGACGAAACTCTGGGAGGCAGTGGAAGATAGGAGTGCCTGGCGTTCTCTGGTCCATGGGGTCACGAAGAGTCGGACATGACTAAACGACTAAACAACAACAAAGATAAAAACTAGTTGGGAAATAAACTACTTTGCCATTTTTATGGACGTTTATTGTTTGTTTACAGATAGTTGGCTTGGTGATATTACCTTGTGTTGACTGCCAATCTGGGGGGCAGTGTACCCTTGACCAGTCCTCAGCACCACCTCCATACCCTCTAATATCTCCCCTAAAAAATTACTCTGTGCAGAAGCCCAGAGCCAAAGGGATAATGACCATGTAGCAGCAGGAAGCGTCATATTCCGGAGACTGTTTGGAGGGAGGAAGACAGAGCCACATGCTCCAGAGCAAGGTTAACACTTCAAAAAAAGGGATAGGCAGCAGAATGAGTAATAAAATGGCACCATTTGTGCTTAGCAGTCACAGGTGCAACATCTACTTCTCCTCAGCAATTAGAGATCCTTTAGATCTGCTGGACAGCTCCCTGTCATCAGTAATAAGACAGGCATCTGAGCCAAACAACAGTGGTGTCCAGGGTTGAGTTCTTTCCACATCAGTAAGGATTGAATGACCCCAAACACCACCATAGGCAGAGATGTGGTTGACTGGAAGCAAACAAGGTCTAGTGAATCAGTCAAAGATATGGCAGGCAAGATGTCACTATGATGTTGAGCTGGGGCACAGAATGGGTGCTTCATTATAAATTCATTTCTCACAGCAGTTCTTTCATGGCACTCAGTTTGCGAATTACTAAGTTGGCTGTGGCAATTATGTAGCACTGAGTATCACCATTTGTCTTTAGATTATTAAAAGCTAAAATTGGAAAACCGGCCACTAATGCCTGATTATCTTTAGAACTCTTTATTATCTAGCGCAACAATTTCTGTTTTCAGCGTGGCACACAAAATTATAATATAAATTGCAAATCTACAAAAGAGATTACGGTGATTATTAAAAAGTTCTTTTTTTGTTGTTGCCCACAGAAGCTCTTTTTCTCAAAACACTTATTTGGGACACTGTCAGCACCACTAATTGCAATTTGTGAGGAAACACAAATGCTGCTTTTGCAGAAATTATGGGCAGACTTTGTCTCTGTAGTATGTTTGCTACATATTGTCACCCTCTGTGTCAGGTGCTCATTGCCCTGTGTTGTTTAACCTTAAGAAGAGAAAGTGGATGTCAATAACTTTTAAAATGGAAAATAAAAATATTATTTAAAAGGGAGTGAAAGAACATATTTTCATGAGCATCTTAATAGGCAAAAGGAAGGTTATCTGGTGACCATACTCACCTTTTCCAGTAGTTGTCTAAGCTGCTTGCTTTTGGCATCTCTGGAGCAAAGGTTTTGTTCTGGAGCAACCACAGTGCAAATACATCTTCCATCTGGGTCTTGGGCGGAACTATAGACTTGCCAGCCTTCTTTGGGGCTGATTTGAGTCTGTGAACAAGAAATAATGGGACACTATAATAAACAAGCACAGAACGGAGAGAAAGAGAAATGGGGTTTCATTTGTAGATGACCATTTACCGCATTTTTTGCTCCATAAGACGCACCTAGTTTTTAGAGGGGGAATGCAAGAAAAAAAATATTATTTAAAGGGAGCGCTGAGCAGAGCCTGTATGCATCCCAGGCTTTGCTCAGCTCTCCCTTTCACGAGCCGCGAGGAGCGTGTGTGCGGCGCTTGCATGCTTTTCCCCGAGGAGGGAGAAGGGCAGCCCGTCACGGATGGGCTGCCCTTCTCCCTCCTTGGGGAAAAGCCTCTGTGTGGCTCTTTAAAGGGAGCTGGCTTTTGCGGGAGGTGGGGGAAGGGACAGAGCGCGGCTAAGCCAGAAGCTAGAACAGTGAGAGGGAGCTCAGCGATCCCTCTCGCTGTTCTGGCTTCTGGGATAGCTGTACAGCCTCTTCAGGGCAGCGGGATGAAGGCTCCCCCACTGCCCTGAAGAGGCTGCGTGTGGCTAAGCCAGAAGCTACAACAGTGAGAGGGAGTGCTGTTCTGGCTTCTGGGATAGCTGCGCAGCCTGCATTTGCTCCATAAGACACACACACATTTCCCCTTACTTTTTAGGAGGGAAAAAGTGTGTCTTATAGAGTGAAAAATATGGTATTTATTAATTAAATAGAATCTGTACAGTGTTCCATTGCACAAAATCTCTTAAGTAGTTTGCATAAAATTGGATTGACCAAAGTTGTTGAACTTTTTTGTGGGAAGACCCAAAGTTGTATTGACCTGTTGGACAGCCCTGACTTAGTGAGTACTTTGCTGCATTCAGCAAGAGGATGTTCTGATGTCAGAGGCATGGCAAAGAGGCACCAGTTGTGCTTCTTGTGCCTCATTAGTGCTGTGGTTGGCAGGGCTTGAAGCTGGGACCTTGTGTTTGCAAAGCATTTATTCTCCCACCAAGCTGTGGTGTCTCCTTACTTCCATCAGAGGAACCAGATGACCATAGATGACCTAGAAGAGCAGAGCTACGAAGCTTTCACATGGAATGGAAATCTCTAAAATCTCTACACCCCAACAGCTATAAAAAGAAAATGAAACAATCCACCCTTTGTGCCTTTTTAATTTCTTTTCAGAAAGGGCAGAGGTCCTGATCCAGCGAGGATATCCGAATGCACAAGGCTTACTTATAGCCTGTTTATGTGGGCTAAGATATGAGAGGTTACTGTTTCTCCTCTCACTGCTCACTAAGGGCCAAAGCAGATCTTACTTTAATTGTGTTAGTAATCATGCTTCACCCTGATTTTGACCCTGGGGATGGAGCCATGGCGAACAGGGCAGTTTTTCATTGGATGGGATTGGATATTCCACTATGTGAATATCTGTGCAAGGATTTGGACACTAAACCCTGTTTTGCTGGATACGTTTGCAGAGCACAATTTACCCCAAGTGGAATGATGGCTGGATCAGCACTTTACTTCAACTTGGCCAAAGGAGCTTATCTGCTGAAAGGCACAGTGCAAAGCTGATAATAAATAAAGAATAAAATAAAATAAAATAAATGGCAGGCCATGCATGTCATGCAAAGCTAATCCTGACTTTGACCTATGATTGACACTCATGCCCACACAAGATGCAAGGCGTGATGTTTTTCTAACTGCAGAAGAAGAACCACAACCTCACAAGTGTCTTCTTCTGTGATGTTACCACGTTAACTACTGATGGATAATTATCCTCTGGTAACTTTGGCATCACTCCCGGACATACAAGAAATGCAGACCAAGTTGCAGCCTTCGCAACTACCAACTGTCCACAGACACAAAAGTGACAGCACAACACAGACCCAGAACAAATTGCCTAATAAAAGCATTAGAGAAAACCATTCAACACACCCAAGACACAACAGAGAAAGCATGCATCGGGCTAGAAGATAGCTTTTAAGTGACACAGTACAGTATTTCTAGCACAGATGTGCAGTTATGTTTTAATTGTTTTAGCAAAAAGATAGCATTGACATCTTTTGTTTTAAAAAACGAAGAAGAAAGGTTTACATGTCTACAATTATTGAATTGCACACTGCTTGGCTTTTCTTTAGGGTTAATCTCACGCAGCCCTCCCCAGATACAAGGCAGCAAAGGCTTTGAACAAGATGCAAGAGAGTTAATAATTTTTTTAAAAAAATCATCGCAGAAATATGAAGAAACAAGACTGCAAGGCATTTTTCTACCTCCAAAACCTTTCAAGCCTCAGAGGACTTTGTGAGGTAGAGAGTAGATATTGCAAAGCAGACTAGTCATTAGCAGAGCTGAAAATAGATCTGGGAAGCACGCTGGTTTTGAAAAAGTCAGTGTCAAATTAAAATGTCTCACCTAGACTGGATATGCAGAGGCAGCAGAAAGTGAGGGTAGAATCCTAGTGGCAGTGGAACAGATGGAACGACTCTGTACTGTGGTGATAACAACAGCTTTTAATGTTCCTCTACAATTAAAACCAAACTCTCTCACTGCAAACAGAAAACTAGCACAGTAGTTGGAGGGAGAGGCAAGCTCCTCCTCCCTGATGTGCTAGTTATCTACTTGCAGGGAGCTTTTACATGAGGGAACATGCAAAACCTGCACCCTTCACCTCCAGTCTGAAATGCCACAGCCCATTACACCACCGTTGGGCTTTACCACCCAATTCCTACCCATATGCAAAGCCAGTAGGTCCTCTAAGGATGTGTTCTGTCTTTACTTTATAGGTGGAGGGGAGTAAGAGGAGCAGGCAACACTTTCAAGCCCTATGCTTTGTGGATATCCATGGTACTGGACATATGACACAAATCGAGAATATACATACTGACAATTACAACCAAGGAAATAGGGTGGCTCCTAAAATACATATCTCAGGTGTCAACAGCCAATGTTAAAAGGTGCATCTTCAGCATACCTCTAATGAAGGTGCCATATACAGTGGTACCTTGGGTTAAGTACTTAATTCGTTCCGGAGGTCCGTTCTTAACCTGAAACTGTTCTTAACCTGAGGTACCACTTTAGCTAATGGGGCCTCCCGTGCTGCTGGAGCACGATTTCTGTTCTCATCCTGAAGAAAAGTTCTTAACCTGAGGTACTATTTCTGGGTTAGTGGAGTCTGTAACCTGAAGCGTATGTAACCTGAGGTACCACTGTACATCTCTGTGGAGAATGAATTCCACAAATTAGGGACCTGTGCCTACTTCGAGAACAGGTGTGTATGAATCAATGGGTTAAGTTAGTGTTTTTTTATATATAGATAACCTAACTGGTTTCCTGTACTTCTCTTCTGCTTGCAGCTTTCAGGTGGAACTTTTCCTTCAGTTACAATAAAGGAAGGATTTTGAAGTCCTGGTTATGAATTGCTCCACCCTGAACACAAACCCAACAGCTTGCAATGTGCCATGTTAGTCCACTCCTTCCCTGATTCATGTAAATGGCATGGATGGGCCTATTAAACTACACACACACACACACACACACACACACACTCCAGCATTTCCTGTACATTGTACCAGGTACATATTAATGAGAATGGTCAAACTGACAACAAATATATTTGAGGACCAACCAACACCATCTGCCCTGTGAGGAGGATGAAGAGAGTGAGGAAGGCAGCTGAAGACATCCAGATGGACTGTACCCTCCCCACTTGGTCAGCTTTACAAGTTAAAGCATTTGTCTAAGTTCTTTAAAATTCTAAACTGCCTTGGCAGAAAGGCAATATATAATGAATGAATGAATGAATGAATGAATGAATGAACTGGTGCTTCCACAGCACAGACCTGCACAGAGTGCTCTTCCCATTCAGCCCTGAAGCCCACTGTGTGACCTAAAAGTGGAAGAGGGGTGTAGGACTATGGACTCCTTGGAAGAAAGTTGGGAAATTAATAAAATGAATATATCAGCATCCTTTCAGAACAATCCTATACATACACATAACCATCTACACTACTAACTTAAAACATTAGAATAACGGAAAGTAAGGTAAAAGGTAAAGGACCCCTGGACGATTAAGTCCAGTGAAAGGTGACTATGGGGTGCAGTGCTCATGTCACTTTCAGGTCGAGGGAGATGGCGTTTGTCCACAGACAGCTTTTTGAGTCATGTGGCCAGCATGACTAAACCGCTTCTGGCGCAACAGAACACTGTGACGGAAACCAGAGCACACGGAAACTCTGTTTACTTTCCTGCCACTGTGGTACCTATTTATCAACTTGCACTGGTGTGCTTTCGAACTGCTAGGTTGGCAGGAGCTGGGACAGAGCAACTGGAGCTCACTGCGTTGCGTGGATTCAAACTGCCGACCTTTTGATTGAAAGAACAGCTTTATACACAGCATAATTTTCATTTATTGTCATTCCGTCCTTAAGCTATTGCTTATGTAGCCAAAATGGTAAGAACCATACACAGAAGGGAGGTATCAGCAGACTTGGGTTAACCTTGTTTGCAGAAGTACTTTTTTCTTTTTAAGAAAAAAACTACCCTTGGGATTGGGGATCCCCCAACACAGCCCCATGAGCCCCCTCACTGTCCATGGAATTCTGCCATACTGCTGAGAGAGGAAAAACAGAAAACTATGTGGAAGGGAAATGGAATGGGCTGCTTAGAAAAGGAGGACATAGATATTTAAAGGTGGAGAGAACAATCTCATTGTCTGAATTGGTCATTTCCTGGTCACAATGTAAAGCTATTTTTATAGGTCCCCAGGGAAGGGAAGTGAGACCTGCCAAAGATTAAATCAATGGAGAAATCAAAGATTTTAATTTAGTTATTATAGATGTCGGAAAATTCTGCCAAAAATGGAAAAGGAAGCAGAAATGGCTGCAACTTACAGCAATAGTCAGGAACAGAAAACTGTCAAATGAATACAGTGGGTATTCATTCTCACTGTTGTTTCAAGTCTGCAAATAGTGCATAATTAGTAACTTTTTTTTTACGGTGTCCTGACACTTTTTTTACATTGAAATGAATGTAAGTCACATAAG